CCAACCAAAAAAAAAAAAAAAAAAAGACCTTGAAGACCAAATCAGAAAGATTGATCCTATCTATAGTTCAAAGTAGCATCCATCTGGTTATACCTAATGCACAGATCAATATGCTTCTGTTTGGAGATAGGAAGGTTTAGCCTAGTGTTTAAATTAGCTACCAATAGTAAAAAAAAAAAAGAAAAAAGAAAAAAATGTAGAGGAGATTTTACCCACAAAATTCAAACTTTACTGAAAGAAAACTAAATCACAAAATCTGGCAGTACTGGCTCTGCTTTTCCACAACTCAACTGAGCTGTGGCCATCCTCCTACTTGGGGCTTGTGGCCTGCAATTTGCCACCAATCCAAACACTCCTTGCTACTCCTTGATATCCACAACCACTTATCTGCCCAACCTACTTTACTCATGAAGCGCACATGGATCATTACTTTGGCTAGTGGATCTTCATTAAGCTTTTTTTTGGTAATACTGGGGTTTCAACTCAGGGCTTGAACCACACCTCCAGCCCTTTTTGCTCAGTTTATATTGGAGATAGGGTCTCGCTTTTTGCCCAGGCCAGCCTGGACCACGATCCTCCTATTTTATCTTCCCACATGCCACCCTGTTAAGTAGGAGTGAGAGGGGAAAGGAATCCTCACGATGAACTTTTTTGCCCAGCCTACCCTGGAACCATGATCTTTCCAATCGCAGCCTTCCAAGTAGCTTGTGATGACAGGAGCAGGCCACCATACCCAGCTATTGGTTGTAATAGGTTCTCTCTAAATTTTGCCCACGCTGGTCTCAAACTGTGATCCTCCCAATCTCAGCCTCTCAAATAGCTAGGATTACAGGCATGAGCCACCAGTATCTGGCTGATCTTTGTTAAATTTTACTCATCTCAGCACCCAGAATCCGCATAACAAATGAGAACCCAAACGTCCTCTTAGATATTACCATGCGCTCACAAAACTACCAACAAACAGGCAAACACTGAAAAATGCACCTTTTATAAAAGGATGAATTGTTATTATTTCTAGTTAATCACAATGAAAGACTTATAACCCTACAAAAACCAAAATACAAAATTTACTGGAAATTCCTGAATTCTTTTAACACCACATGAATCACTAAAGCTTCCCAGCATTTTCCCTTCTTTCCGTTCCAATTCTATTTTTAAGGAAAGAGCTGGCCTGAAGTCATTCTGATTCTTTGAGGGCTGCACTTGGATTGTTATATGCAGAACAAGCAGCTAGACAGGATGGAGACTTTTGTTTGGTAACCACCATCAAAATTCTCCAAAATAATTAAAAATGTGTTATATTTGGCTACAGATATTAATGAACTAACCCAACTTCAAAGCTAAGAAACACTTCCTTCAAAAACTCAAATTTCTTCACTCTCTACTTCATAAATACTACCAAATGTACCAGTTATGGTTTGAGGGAGTCCCTTTTCAAAACACATTCACAGAAATTCCATTAAAAATAGGTAAAATTTCAAGAATGAGTCACCTAGTACCACACTGACCACATTAAGGAAAAAAGGTCAACTTGTTTGAGACTTCCAAGTCAAAGTGGGAAAAGCTGGGCACTGGTGGCTTATGCCTATAATCCCAGCTACTTGGGAGGCTGAGATCAGGAGGATCACTGTTTAAGGCCAGTCTGAACAAATAGTTCAAGAGACATCTCTAAAAATAACCAGAGCAAAATGGACTAAAGGTGCTCAGGAAGTAGAGTGCCTGTTTTGCAAACACGAAGCCCTGAGTTCAAACCTCAGTCCCACCAAAAACAAACATAAGTCAAGTTGGGGAAATAAAGACAGGTTTGTAGATACTTTAAACAAAAATAATACTAATGCTGAGAAATATCGAACTTCATCAAAGAACTTAGATTCCTCACGATACTTTTTACCTCCAATTTCTAGCTAAAGGCAAGTTTGACAAACATGTTGTCATTCTCAGACTTAAAACAGTACCTCAGTGTGAATAATGTTAGACTGTGTCTCTTCCATCTTCAGTTGGTCTGGAGTTTTACAACCAGGAATGAAAAGCAGCATATTGGAAGTGTCTGCTATTTTCAAGTCATATGTTTTGTCTTTACTGCACAGCACAGCTTGCTCATCTTTGTCACCGCGAATCACAAGACTGCAAGAACATGGAGGGGAAAATACAAGGTCACATCTTCATTTTAATAGTTCCCAAATCCTCTGGCTTCTAGAATTCAAAATTAAGCTTGTTGCTGTGTCTGGCCTCTGTAAGACAAGGATGGATCCTACAGAGCAAACTCTGGGCCCAAGTGAGAGGTATTGGGTATCCAGTGCCTCACCAAAAATATGGATGAGACTCAAAGCATTGGCCAAGTAGCACCATGTTGTATCTCTGTGCAAACTGCTAGGAAGAATACATGATGGAGCATCTAGAAGCTTCAGTCAAGATGTCACAATTTTCTAAAACAGGCTAAAGCAGTACTTCTCATCTTAGTTATCTTGTTAAAAAGCACACTGGGATACAGTAGGTTTGGCAAGAGACCTAGGATTCCGCATTTCATTTTTTCCTTTTGGACTGTAACGGGGTTTAAACTCAGTGCCTCACACTTGCTAGGCAGGTGCTCTACCACTTGAGTATTTCTGAGGAAGTGTGTCTCTTTTTGCCCGGTTTGCTGTCCTCAAACTGTGATCTTCCGATCTCTGCCTCCTGAGGAACTAGGAACAGGTATGAGCCACCGAGGCCCGGTGAATTCTGCATGTCTAACAAGCTTCCTCAGGATGAGCAGGCTACTGCTGGTACCCACTCAAGAATCATCCTTGTTTTGTTCTATACAGTCAGAGGAGCACTCCCTGGCCTAACCATCAGCTTTTGTGGCAAAGAAACTGGGACCTTACCCAAAAAAGGCTGAAATGCTAAATGAAGAATATGAAACGAAGAAAAAAACAACTAATTAAACAAAAGACTCTTAAGAAAAGGAGTTTTAGGGACTGAAGGTGTGGCTCAAGCAGTAGAGCACTTGCCTAGCACGTGAGTCCCAAGTTCAAATCCCAGTACCTCTTAAAGAAAAAGGAAAGGAGCTTAGAGGGGTGAACGTAACCAAAGTACATGGTAAGCATGTACGGAAATGTCACAATGGATCTCATTATACAGCTAATGTATGCTAATAAAAATGTTAAAAAAAAAAAAGAAAAGCAGCTTATCTTTATCACAGCTGAATAAAGGCAAGAAGAGAAGAAGGATGGTGAAGAGGAGGGAGAGGAAACACTGAAGACAAAGATGAGGGAGATGACAAGTTAATGGACCCAAGAAGATTTCCTTGTCTATAAAGCATTTAACTCTCTGGGCACAACTCAGATTTATTTATTTATTTATTTATTTATTTTTGACTATTTGATAGTAATGGGGTTTAATGTCAGGGCCTACGACTATACCATTTAACCATACCGTCAGCTGTTTATGCTTTCCCGTTATTTTTTCAGACATGGTCTCCCGTTTTCACCCAGACCTGGCCTCAGACTGATCCTCCTACCTAAGCATCCCTGTGGCAGAGACCAAAGGCACACACTACCAGTTTTGACTTTTTTTTTTTTTTTTTTTTGCTGAGGATTGAATCCCGGCCTCCACCTGGTAACTGCCATACCACTGAGCCACACCTCCTTCCCTACATTATCTTGCTTTGGCTTTGGTTTGAGACAGGGTCTTCTTACTCTGTAGCCCAGGATGGCTTGGAACTCTGCCTCCCCAGTACTGTGATGGCAGGTCCCCTTGTGCTGTTCTTGTTCTTGTTTTTTAACACCAAGGTCTACCAACAAATTTGTACCTAACCTAGAATTAGCAACAGCAAATCTAGTTTGGAGGCCTCACCAAATCTAGAATAGGCCTTTAAACTTATTCCCTACATGTCCTCCCTAGTGTTGAGTAAAAGAAATGTAAGTGGGAGGCAAGAAGATATTCGACATCACCATTTTATTTAAGGCGTTCTGTGGAGTCCCTGGAGTCGCTGCTATGTCCCAAAACTTCACTGGGGTTAAATTCCTGCCCTTTTCCCGTGATACATGCCTCCAAGCTCAGTCGGCCCAGTTCCACTTATCTCAGTCCCCCTATGTGGCCGGCCTAGTGGGGGCTTGGGATCCTCTTGGGGAGGTGGCAGCCGGCTGGGGGTGGGGGGGGATCGGGCCACCTGCTTGCCGTGAGCCCCGGCCAAATCAATGTCCCTCTCTGGCCGGGTTTCTTCACCCTGAGCTGAGACTGGCGGCTCACCTGTGTCCAGCTTCCAGCTGCTGGCACAGCGCGGGCTCCAGCTCCAGCAGGCAGAAGTCTCCGGCGGCCGCGCCGTTGGCCCCGAGGCTGAAGCCCAGGCAGTGCACGGTGGGCAGCAGCTCGGCCGCGTCCAGCTTGGCGATCTGCAGCGTGGCGTCCACCTCCTCGCGGGTCCTCGTCATCGCGGCGCGGGGCGGAGGCATCCCGCAGCTTCCGCGGACACCAAGCCCCCCAAGCTCACCGTCAGCGTTTCAAAAGCGCGCCAAGGCGGCCGGGCGTGACCCCAATGCTTCTGCGCGCGTGAGTCCCTCTGCAAAGGGGTCACCCCCACGCGAGGCCCAGGCGGGTGCAGAGGACCCAGCTTCCTGGCGTCAGTCTCTCCGCAGCTCTTAAGGGCGGAGCTGGAACCCTGGGGGTTGTGACATCGAACTCTCGCCCGCCCCTTCCGCTGCCCCAGCCCACCCCCCGCCCGCCCCTTCTTTCCCGCCAAGCCTCGCATTAAAACAGTGTGGGATGCTGCCGGTGGCGCTGGGCATGGTGAGGCCCAACTGCAATCCAGCACTCCGGAGGCTGAGGCAGGAGGATCACGAAGCTGGAGGTCAACCTGGGTTACTTGGAGACTTCCAGGCCGGTTTGGACTTACATACGAGACCCAGTCTTTTAAAAAATCCGCTGTGGTGGAGCTAGGATAAGCAGTTTGCATGTATAATTTCATTAGCCCCTCCTGACCTAGTAAGGTGGGTCTCTGGTCATCTCGTTATGCAAATGAGGATGCACAGCTCGTGGTGGCACAGCCAGGACACGGCAGTGTGATTCCAGCCTAGGCTGTCCTGGCTCTTAAGGCATCCTAGGTGATTGGGGAGGGGAAGTGTAAGCAGCTCTGCACCCTGAACTGGGATGAGACTCTGGTGGAACTGTAAGGGTTCCTTTGAATCTGTCCCTAGCTCATCCTCCCTTCCTTTTGTCTTCCACCACTCTCTTATCTTTTTTGCTGAACAGAAACCCTTAACTGAGGTTCTAGCTAACCAGCTGAGGGAAAGCAAAGTCCATTGTGAGATTCTACCTCATCTCACAAGAGGAAAGAAGACACACTTCTGGATGACAAAGCCCTGGCCCAGCACATGGACTTCCTGCCCATTCCGTGTGCTCCCTTTTTTCTCCCACAAAAGCTCTTTGTGCCTTGAAAAATCCCAGCTCCGAATTTAAGAGAATCTCTTCTTTTTCCAGGCCACTTTGAGTAAACCTGTTTCCTTCCACCAATTTCTGTTCCCTGGGTTGGTAGAGCAGTAAGCAATATGAACTTGAGATTCTGGTTACAGAATCAGGACAAGCATCTCAGCTGTGCATCATCCCACCTGGCAGGCAACTTTTTGGTCTACTCCAACCATTCCTTGAGTACCTAGTTGGTAACAGGTGGCATATGAGGTACTAGGACCTTGGCAAAGAGGAAAACAACTGGAGAGCCCTGCAGGCTCCAGGAGTAGGCAGGCAAACTCACCACTGCAGGATGTAGTGTCTCCTATGCCAAAGTTTGCAGTGACCTAACACACACTTATAAGAGAAAACCTCATCAGTACACACACCCATGAATAACTTGTTTTTGAATTTGAGGAGTGGGGGGCAGGACTGGAGGTTGAACTCAGGGCCTTGTCCTGGCTAGGCAGGCACACTACTACTTGAGCCACTCCACCAACCCATCCATGAATAACTTAAAACAATACTTTGTGCTGGGTTGTATTAGGCAAGCTTACAGACTCTCTGAGACTGGCTGCCTCCAAGAGCTGAAACAGATTGGGAGTTATATTCCACTTAAGAGGAAGGCCTCCTGCCAGGCACCAGTGGCTCATACCTGTAATCCTAGCTACTCATGAGGCAGAGATCAGGAGGATCATGGTTTGAAGCCAGCCTGGGCAAATAGTACCATAGATCCTATCTTGAAAAAACCATTCACAAAAAAAGGCTGATGGAGTGGTTCAAGGTGTAGGCACTGAGTTCAAACCCCAGTACCGCAAAATAAATAAATAAAAGAGGTAGGCCTCCTTGTTTGTGAAAGTCAGACTATGGTTAAGTCTGACTTCAAGAAAGTGGTAAGTGGGGCTAGATGAGGGGTTGAATTCAAAAGAAATGAGCAGGTAGTTTC